TGTCAGACAGACCAGTATTTACCCAGCATTCCTTGCTGAGAAATCTTCGACACGAGTGAGAGGTACTTCTTGGTGTGTGAAGAGTGACTCCATTATACTTTTCTACTCACTACTGAGCAGTGTTAATGCAACACTACAAAGAGTTTGATATTAACTCTGAGTGTTAAATTTACACTCTCAATTTGATGGTGTATTGACACCTTGTGGTGTCTGTAAACTTTTCAAACACAATGTCCATTGTTAATAATAATAATAATACACTGGTGATACTTTTAAAACTTTATTTTAACACTGTTGAAATGCATGACACCCAGTATCATTGGATATTAAACACTGGTTGTGTTAAATTAACAAAGAAAATGGGTGTTGAAATTTAGCACTTTCACAAACGTTATTTTAACACCAGCAAGTGTGGACACATATAGACACTTTGTTGGTGTTGAAATTAACACTGGCATTTTTTGCTGTGTAGTGTTGTCCTCATTTCACGCGTGACAACATTTTCTTTATTTGACATGATCAACCAGGGGTCTGCTACCATTGTGGTCAAATGAGTCATTTCTGCCCTTAACTCAGTGATAAAATGTGTTCGAGGTGAAAARTGTGCAACAACTGTGATTAGGGATGCACCGATATGAAAATTTCAGCCAATATCGATATCCGATATAATTATTGATGTTATGGCCGAAAACCGATATTTACTGACATTACACAAACACACAAATTATATTATACATATACACACAAACACACTTGGGTCTTTTTTTGATACTGTAAACAAACAACCAGACCTCTGACATGGCTCTACTTCAGTTATTCCTGGCTGCACAGCATCAATTTTACTATCATGATCAAACAGATGCTGTTCAACCAACCATCTCCCCTCCCAAAACAGAAACTAAAGCTTAAAAAGTGGGAAATCTATGTCGGATGTTAATATCGGCCAGTTTTACACATCAGACTGATATCCATATTCTAAAAAATGACCAGTATCGGCCGATACTGATATTAATGCCAAAATATTGTGCATCCCTAATTGTGATCATCAACTGATGTCCCGTGGGCCACTTTGAGTTCGTTTGAGGGGGGCTTTTCCGGCCCGTGAATGTGATTTAGTAAAACTAAAAATATATTATTAATCTGAAAATCTCTTCATTTATATCCATTTTAAGATTAAAGTAAAAACCAGATCCATGTAAAGAAGAAAAAAATGAAAGTTTTTACCAATTTTGTTAAAAATTAAAACACTGAGTCTGCTTTTGAATGGGGGGGGGGGTTAAGTTCGCGTAATAAAGAAGGTAAAATAAGTATAAAAAATAGGCCTTACTGAAATTTTAAACAAAACAAATAGTTTTGTTTACTTTGCTTATGTAGGAGTTTTAGTCTTACATCCTTCTCATGAGGACTTGAGAGTTCTTCAATACAGATAATAATACCTTTTCTGTGTAATTATCAGGAATTAAACCAATGAGTAATGTAGTCAGTAAAGTTTTATCTAAAATAATGATATTCATTTACAAAAACAATTACATATATACAAGACTCATTGAGGGATGATCAGATGTTTACAAAAGTTGAAATCAATAACATCTAACTCACGAACGTGTTAAATCTTGTTATTTTGACAGCTTTATCAGGAACAACAACGTTTGGCTTTAGATGTTAAATAGACTATTGTTGAGACACTTATTCTTAAAGGTTTTGACAGGATTTGGGAAAGAATTAAGAGTTTAGGAAGGAAAAGKTTTGTTAAGGAGGGAACTAGATTWTATCTTMTCAAAGTGAGGAGCCAGGAGGGTTTGGGAAGTCTCACTCGGCACAGCCMGGACGCAGACGCTCTGTAATCAACCAAGTTCAGCTTTACCTTTTCAGACTTCAAGTCAGGTTCAGCGTGCTGGAAGTTGACCCGGGTCAGGTTTGGGATCCGCTCAGAAACCTTCAGAACCGACCAGGTTGCCAGACTTCAAGGAGTTGATTRTCTTGGGTCTAGTGGTCTCTTGGCTTCGTGCGTAGAGAGTCACAACCGACAGGTTCCTCAGATCAAAATAAAAGYRTCTCACAGAAGTTCTGAACAAAACTTCCAGGAATTTGCTGGTAATTTGTTCCACAACTGGAGGTGTCATGGACCGAGCGATAAGATTGCTCCTTGGCTAAATGAGCTGAAATCTTATTGCCTGAACGCTGGTTTTTCCTGAGGAGGAAAAACTCAGCTTTTCTCTCTTCAAAGAGAAGATGGAGACACTGTCTTGGGGAGATCTGCCTGTTGTTAGTTACTAAAGGAGGGAGAAAAGAGGGTACTATCAGGCATGGCCT